TTTTGCTGAGTAGTGGAGCGACACCCTATATCTCGCAGCCGTCACCTTTCCAGAGACATCCTATCCTCAGTTTCACTCCATTGCTCTCCAAATGCACAAAAGGAGAGCGAATCCTCCGCCAGAACATGCCCAGATACACTGCCATATTTTTTGTCTTTTCTGCATGTGCACAGCCGTGGAGCTCGGCCCTCATGCACGTCGTTTCACGTTTTATGTTTCTGTTTTTTGTCGTTTTCTGCCACCACTGCCACACTGCGTTTTTTTAGGGTTTGCATTAAAAATAATAATAATAATAATAAATAAATAAATGAAAAATGGGAAGATGCTGCCACCTCTGCCACACCGCCATATTTTGAGGGTTTGGATAAAAAGAAAATAAAGAAAAAAACATGGGAAAATGTGCAGGCAGAAACTACAAAAACAAAAAAAAAAGCCAAACGACGTGCAGTGTAACAAACAAACCGCTGTGCCAGAAAAACATGGGGGGACGATTCATCCAAAACAAAAAAAAAACTAAAGAAAGAAACGTGCAGTGCCATGGCAGCAACGAAATCACATCCCTGAGGGCAAAGCCTCCCGCCGCTATATACTTGTATTCAAACATGCGGCGGTGGATTTGCATACTCTCCAGCCCATGTGGCCCACGCATCGCCGTGGGCCCACGGCGGGAACGCGGTTTGCCTAGAGTGTAAGCCAGGCCTCGCAAGAGTGTCACGAGAATCCCAGCTTACACTTTAATAACCCACACCTCGTTGTGGGCCCACGAGGGAATCGCAATTTCCTTCGAGTGTAAACATGGCCTCGCGGGAGCAGCACGCAAGACCCGGCTTCTCTATATTCTTTAAAGTTACATCACGCCCACCGTAGCACGCGCACACAGGCCTCACGAAAACAAATGTAGGGGCGCACCATTCCCGCTGGGACACCCGTGGGAGGGACTGGCTGGGACGGAAAACGGGTGTGGCCGTGCAGGATCGAGTCGGGCAGTGACGTTTCCAAGGCGGGCCCACAATTTTTTTTTTTGAGTCTGGCGGCGACTGTTCGGGCCGAGGTTGGTTCGAGCCTGTGTGAATGGAGTATGGGACGCGGTTGGTTCGGGCCCTGTGTAAATGGAGTTTCCAAAGCGGAACACTTGGGGGTAAGACTGCTGTTGGCACGGTTTTATGAACAGGCTCCTTTTCGGCCGCGGGTTTGTGGACGGAATCAACGAGGGCGGCATTGTATATTTCCATGTTCCAGCACAAGATTCATTCGATTTTGCCAATCTTATAGATGGAAGTAGTGTGAGGCCAGCCACGAGGTTGGACACTTACCTGTTCTCCCTCCCTCCCTCTCTCTCTCTCTCTCTCTCTCTCTCTCTCTCTCTCTCTCTCTCTCTCTCACACACACACACACACACACACACACACACACACACACACACACAATAAAAAATTGTGGCAGTCACAGGCGGTGTATATTTTCATGTTCTAGCTGAAGATTCATTCCGACTTTGCTCATCCTACACACACACACACACACACAGACCGACATTTCCATGCTTCACCAATGAGCAAAATGGGTTAGAATCTTCCCCTAGAATATGGAAGTGTCCACTGTCAAAGACCGAAAATGTGGCAGTGTACATCTCCATATTCTAGCGACAGAGTCATTCCCATTTTGTTCATCCTATGGATGGAAAACTCTCTCTCTCTCTCTCTCTCTCTCTCTCTCTCTCTCTCTCTCTCTCTCTCTCTCTCTCTCTGTGGGACTTTTGCATCTGACAGCTCCTTAGTCCATACTCAGACGGGGATTTCTTTTCAATGTATCTGTTCGCCGCCGCAGTGTATCTTCCTATGTTCTTGCGGAAGATTCCTTCTCACTTTGCAAGTTTGCACATTGGCAGGCTGCCCAGTTGATGCACACACGAAACTGTTCAATTGCAGACGTGAGTTCAAATCCAGCGGCGACCACAATAAAATAGTTCTGATTTCAAAACGGATCCGACGGCATGCTGATGCCTTGGCTGATGCCCCCGCGAATGCTGCGCATCCCATGTTCTAAACCAAACACCCTCACTGTCCCCCGGGCCAGATAAAGGCCGTGCCTGGGGGGTGGGGCTGGCACTGGGTCGCGACTTCGCCGCGGCAGGTTCACTTCTACACTTTAATAAGAGTATATCGATATAGATATCGAACCCCAACAAAAAAAAAAAAAAAACGGCAAAAAAAAGGTAAAAAGCATGGCCAACGTCAGTCACAATTTCATCATCTCCATGCAGACCGACCCTGATCCTCCCCCCCCCCCCCCCCCCCCCCCCCCCCCCGCCCCGAAGAAGGTTGCAAAACCCTATATGCACATCTTCCCTGCCCCACCTGCCCCCGCAAAAAAACAACCCTTAGAAACTATGTACACCCCACCCCAAAAAAAGCTGTAGAAACCGTAGAAAGTATGTTCCCAACGAACATGATAAGCAGGGCCGTGGACATGAGAGGCAGACCTGCGCGGACACGGCAGGGTTTCCCTGCTCGTTCCCTGCTCACTACGGACTTGTATTCGGACATGGGGGTATTAGACCCAGGTAATTCATAATTTATCTACTCCGTTCATCTGGTTGCAGCTGCAGCCATCTTCCCTTTAAGATCTCTTTCATAGCCTGCAATGACTTGAGGTGAAGTTCTCATGCGTTCTTCTCTGGTGAACCACTGATCTTCACTGGGGTCCAGGTGATGTCTGAATCTGACCAGGTACCTAGGCTACCAGCCGGGCCGCCCGGGTCCCGGGTGGCCAGGCCGTGCAAGGACAAAGGAGGGTCCCAGCAAAAAACAAAAAAACCCAAAAAATCCGAAAAAAAACTATGTCATGCAGAAAAATAAACTGAACAACTATTGCCTCAGGGGCACATCGAAATTCTTTACCAAATTTAAAATATAAAATAAAATGTTAAAATATTTTTTATTTTTTTCTTAATTTTATATCTTTTTGGCCCGGCCGGGCAAGTGACCCCGGGCCGCTCTGGTAGCCTAGCCCGGTGCTGCATTTTTGGCTTAGGCGGCGGCCTCTGCCCGGTGGTCGAGGAACTGGCATCACCAATGGACAAATTGTTCTATTTGAGTGTAATTTCTTTCTTGTTGGTTTTTTTTCTTATTTATTGTTGGGTAGTTCCCATTATTTGGAACTTGTTGTTTACCTTAAAGACAACATGAACTTCAGTCAAATCACAGTTATGATTTATTTTATTTACTTTGCTCATCTGGTTGCAGCTGGATTTGTACTTCAGTCGATTTACATTTATTTACTCTGCTCGTCTGGTTGCGGCTGGATTTGAAATCCAATCAACGCACATTTACTCTGCTCATTTGGTTGCAGCAGGATTTGAGCTTGGGTCTGTATTTCAACAGTTAGTTTGTGGGAGTTCCAACTGAGTTGGGCCCGCTGGTTTACTTGCTCACGAAACCTCAGGAACGAGACAAAAGTATGAAAAAGGGAGAAAAACGGAGATTCGGGCGCGGCCCCTTGGTTTCCCTGCTCACGGAGATTCAGGAGTGACACAAAAATACAAAACAAAAAAGAAAAAAAAACAGATTTAGGAATGAGACACAACGACAACAAAGAAACCAACCGCCTCTTCGGGATGTGGCCCTGGAATGTCCTGCAACCCTCCCACATGCATCGGGCCACTTCTGCGTCCACATTCATCAGGGTGGCAGTCTTTTCTTTCAGTAGTCTTCCCCCTGTATTGCCGTTCGAACTTCGAACAGCCACGCCGAAGCATCAGGCCACTTCTAACAGCCATATTTTGGGAGAAAAGTGAGAATGAATCTTTCAGTAGACCGTGGGCAGGTACACTGCCATTTATTGGAGCGCCCTTACGCCCACAATTTGGATCTGCCCCCTCCCAGTACCGTGCACCATGCGGCGCATCTGGATTCCAGCTTCGAGCCTTGCAATCAGACGAACGCCGGGCAGCAAGAGAGAAACAACCAAAACGACACCGATGCATCTTTCCATTTTCTTTCTCGTTGTGCATGTTTTGTGGGTAGTGGAGTTTTGGTTGTTTTTTTTCTTGCTGCTGTGTACTTGTATTCGAACATTTTGAGCGAAACGCAACGGGATTCCCCCACGGGGCGGCACCCCCCAGG